AAAAAATGCTTAATAAATACACACGTTCTATTAGAAAATCATTGGAGGCTCGCAGCTGTAATGAGACAAGATCCGTATAAGCTGAACGGGTGTGAGAACTTTTGCAAGCCAGAAGGGAAAAGCTCTCAGCATCAATGGTTTCCGAGCAGATCCACTCACCCGCACTCTTTTCAATAAACAATTATTAGCTCTTCAAAAGAAGACAAATGCCTAATCCATCATCTTTCAGAAGATTTAACAAGATAACGGCATAATTGAATGAATTTGATGGAAAAATGTAATAAAGTTATTGGAGTAAATAGATAGCTGATGGAATTGGATTCTCATAAAAGAACGCAGCGCCTAAATAAAAAAATGAATACAATAAACTCAGACAGTTTTATTATCTCTGAACTATGAAGTCGTCCCTAGTTCAGGACTCTGGGGATGTTAATATTTATTGCCTGACAGTAAAACATCTTTATTATTATTATTGCAGACGTTTGCGTCCCAATAAAAAGACATGGCTGCTGAGATCTTGATCTACGGATCTTTTTGAACCAAAATATTTTGTAGAAATCCTAAAAATGACACGTCTTGAACTATTTTACTGTCACAATCTAGAGAAAATTAGAATCCAACACAAATCATATGGAAAGCTTTCCCTTTATAGAGCACATTTGTTTCTTTCTATCTTTTTTCCAAACAGTTGAAGGTTTGAATAAAAACAAAAAACAAAAAAAACAATCCTTTTTATTTTTGTATCATATTTCACAATTAATATTTTATTATGATGCAGAGGGAGAACCATGCTGAAGTATTTTTGTACTTTTGCACTTTTCCCTGAATTCTTATATTTTGTCACATGGTAAAGGTCTCACCCTTACTAGGCCAACCAAATGTTGTTTCTCTATCAAACTAAATACAAGAATTCAGGGAAAAGTGCAAAAGTGTAAATACTTCAGGATGGTTTTCCCTCTAGGTAATAATATTGTGAAATATGATACAAAAATAAAAATTATTATTTTTATTTTTTTTTCATAAACATATGAATTTGATTTCATTTAATCCATCCATGGTTCTCCTGCTGGAAGGTGAATCTCTTTGATTTTTTTACTTCACATTTTTGCACTTATTCAATTTTATTGTATTATTACCATTCTTAAGTATTTATTTTTTAAAGCAGGTGCTATAGAAATAAACTTTACTTAATCCATCCATCTCCCATGAAAAAAATAAATAAATAAATCCTCACAATATGACACTGCCACCACCGTGCTTAACTATTAATATGGTGTATTATATTTAGGTCTTCTGACCCAAGCAACTTCTTTCCATGTTTTATGTCCCTTATTGTCTGTGGACAACTGGATGCCTCATAGATTACCCACACTATTTATTTTACACCAAATACTTACTGAGATTACATTAAAAAAAAAGGGCACCTTTTACTAATCAGGGGAGTTTTGGACAATCGGTTTATGGATTACTTCCAGGATATTAGAGCAAAAGGACCCTGCATTTCAGATTAAAACAACTAAAACTTAATATAAAAATATGCATTATATTCCTATGATTTATTATAGGGTTGGTCTTCCGTCATATGTCTGATCAAATATAAATGTATAAAGGGCCAATAGAACTCAGAATATTAATCAAATGTTAGAAATGACCTCCTCACTCCTCTAATAAATAACATCTGACCTACAACTATTATGCTTCACCTTTTCAGGTTTAATGCTGGAAAAGAATTGTAGAATACTAATAAAGTAAAAAACTATTCTATTTTATGAAGCACATATGATAAACCATCCCAGCTGACCATGTGGGTGGTTTACCAAACAGTTGTCACATTACAGAGAAGCATCTTAAAGCTGTGGATGCAAATATCTAGAACAACTAGTGTTTTTACAACATTCTACTTACAATATCATGAGTTCCGACTCATAGCGGACCAGAGCGTTCTTCTCCTGCACCAGCTTGAACCACTCCTGCATCAGCTTAGGATCATCCTTCTTGCCCATACCTGGAGGAAGCACAGAGCGGAAGTGAGGATCAAGGTGGCGACGAGATGCCAAGGACGTCACACAGACAAGGGCCGCGGCAGGCACGGAGACAGCCAAGCCAGGATGTCCTTGCCGAGGAATGATGGGGTGGAAGTAGGAACTCAACACCAACGTGCTCGGGCGGGCCATACGTGGTGATGGCACGCAGAGGGGAGGAGAGTTAATGGTTTAATGTATTTATGCACTTTAGTTAGGTCCACAGATGGAAAACAACCCACATTCACACACACCCAGACATATAAGTACCCGTTGTTGCCATGTTGAGTTTGTGTTACCCAGTTTGGCCTGTGTGCTACATGCAACGGCAACCTCCTATCAGTTTTAAACAAATCTCAAAGGGTTAAACGATCAGGAAAAATACAGCGAACCATACACATCACATTATTTCCAAACCATTTCCATCTTTAATGTAACTCAGATCATATTGTTTAATTAATACTTTGCTGGAGTAAATTGTGATTAATTCAGTATTTCAGCCTATTTGAGATAAACAGCCTTCAATGAGATTAAATCTAATGAACCAGGGCCACATTAATCTTCATGAGAACAAAAAGATGGAAAATGGTCTGGAAAGCTTTAAAGAGACCAACACAAACCATTAGGGAGCTGCAGGTTTTTCTAACAGGCACTGATGTTAAAACTATCTGCTGTGTTCTTATGTTTGTCTGGATGAGGGAGTGGTGATGAAGACAGAGGCTTTTTCTTCAAGATGCACCATCTATAAAATGGCCACAATGTCCATTCAGACAACACTATGTTTAACCAATTATAACCCCAATAACTACTATAAAACAGGTGAAAGCATCATGCTCTTGGCATCCTCTTTTTCAGGTGAATTAAAGGCTTCTACAAAATTAATCAAACAAACGGCTTTATATACACTGCATGTACATTGTTCTTACAATAAGTGCATTTTCTTTTGAACTGAGCGGGTAAGTGAGAAATTTTGCAAATGGAACAATACAACTTATATTTATAATAAAGAAAAAAAAATAGCATTTTCAAGTGCATAATATGTAATTATCTGATTTTAGCGCTAAAAAATACTCATTCTATTGGCAGATTGTCTTATTTACCTACTCAAATTAGGGGTAAATACAC